CTTTCGTGTTATGCGCTTAAAAGTTAGTACTCACTATATGGGGTTTGAGTGGGTAAATATGAGTTCGATAAGGCTGTGAATTATCATATGAGCGCCGGCATTTCAGTTAGATCTTTATAAGTTCCTATTTTTCTATTGCCTAAAAAGGAAATTGGACAGTTTTGAATAAAAACAAGAACAAATTCCCTATTATACTCGCGGAATTTGTTCTTATTTTTAGTCAAAACTGTCCAGTTTCCCTTTTAGGCAATGAAAAATAGAACGTTTTTTTGAGAATTCAATGATGAATATACTGCAATTCTCTATCTAACACGGTAAATGTTGTTGCTTTTCAGCGATCTTCCAGAAACAATGATTAACAATACTGATTATCACGATACATTAACAGCATCACTGTTACTTGAAGACTGCGACGGGCGAGTGTATGATCGACGACGAAAGCAGTTTTCGACCACAATAAAGGTTTTTTTAGGACATTTTTAAAATACAAAAATATTGGATTCTTAAGGCAACTGTAATTTACAAGCCTGATATTTTTAACTATGCAAAAACATGCTTTTTAAACCACAGTCCTGGTACTTAAAAACTAACGGTCTTGATGTTCGTTTCACCGTCTCCTCACCCCTTCCCCTTCTCCCCCTCCCGACCTGTCCTTCCGGACCCCTGCCTCCTCCCCTCCCTTTCCGATTATCAACTCGACGGTTTTCCCGACAAAACAGTTGCTTTATATATCAGTATTTGGTAGGTAATGCCAACATTCGAATACGTCCCAGTAACACTACTAAAACTAACTCTCTGGGCTGTATTGATGTTTGATTCATTTGAGCCAAATTTTGACAGCCGAATTCCTCGTTTTTGCTAATTTCTGTTTTTGTAATTTTTCGAAATTAGCAGAATGTTGCTTTTCTGCCATTTGTGATCCTTGCAAGGCTTATATGCATTTATTGAGATATTAGATACAAAGATACTTGCTGGGCTTAAGCAAAATTATAACGCCCTTTATTCTGTCTTCCTTATACTTTCCCACACTCCTTTATCTTCCCCTCAACTTCCATTTGTCTTCCACTTTTTCTTTATTTGTCTTCTACTTTTTCTTTAACTTTATCTCCTACTTTCTACTACTTTTCTTGTTACTTTTACAAGCACATCAACTAGCTTATTCAGTCTTACTAAATTACCATTCGAAATTCTTTTACCACAATCGTCATACTGACGAGGTCCAATTGTGGCAAAGGTAAGAAATGTATACGACTTAATGGACCGAAACGTTTCTTACCTATTTAAATAATTCTTTAGAACCCTTTCATCTTTTGCTCATATTTTTTATTTTTTGCTCATATTTCCTCTCTTACCCTAAACAAAGTAGATATTAGTTAACATTGAAGTATGTGGGAAATATTTAAAACTGAAACTTATGTATGAAAATTAATAATTTAGCTA